GAAAAGGAAAACAAGCCAATACATGTCAGGTCAGTATTGTAAATTTTGTGACTTCTTGATTGGGAACCGTAAAATATTCATACAATTTCCAGCATGATTGTCCATTATTCCATGACACAGTTATTTTCAGCTACTGATATTGTTGTCATCAGATTAAAACAAGCAGTCATGTACAACTCTTTTCAGACAACATGCTTGAATAGCATGAACTTGAAGGCTGGTTCATCATAATTTACTATCTATTTAGCCAGATAACACAGTTTTTTTCTGATTTATTAGCATAATAAATGGGAGAATTTACCCCCTTTTTCAGTTCTTTGACCAAACTTATACTAGCCTTTCCCAAGTGAATATCAACCCCAATAGATAATGTTTCGAAGTTTCCACCCGAAACACAACCACCAAAAAACATATGATTAGATAAAAAAAAAAAATTCTATTGGATTTAGGATGAATTGGGAGTTTGATGTTAAAACCCAGCAGGCTTTTTGATGGGGTATTTGAGCTATCGGTACAGCTGCCTGACTAAAACTGACATACATCATATATCTTTTTTATTTTTATATAAATTTATGTAATTTTGTTTTAGAAAGTATAATAAAAGATATGAATATATAATGTAGTAGTAGATATTGGTGTGATGATTTTTCCTTTTGTTGTTAATTAACATGTATAGTTACAAACAATTTACTTTTTATTGTCATTTTTTGTGGACATCTAGTTTTATAGTTAATGTAAGACGAACATTTTAATTAGTTTACCAGGAGTTTAGCAGGGAGGGTTAGAGTTTGGGATGGAACAGGCTTAGGATGCGGGTTTTTTATATAGACCTTGGTTCAGGTTAGGTATTTTCACAGGTACTGATCCTGTTGCCATCCCTACTCAAGGAGGCTACTTGGTGTGTAAAGAAGAAAATGGCAGTAAATAATATTATACTTTAACCTTTAACTGCAATTCATGCAAAATCATTGACATGAATCACATTGCATGTGATCAATCAATCTATCCCGCAGCTGGTAACCTTAGGGCAATTTGAAACTTCATCATGCGAAATTTCATTGATATTTAACTTAAAGAGCATCTACATATATGTGTATATGCATGTGTACATATTATATAGTAATATAGAAATGTTAATAGGATTACCTGGATGACAAATGCATCAAGACTTTTCTCAGCACCATCAGAGTCATATCTATCTCCATAGGGATCTTCTGTACATTCAATTGATAACCGCACATACACACTTAGAGATGTTACAAATGTTTGCCACATGGGTCCAACTATCACTGCAATAACACAACATGGTTGTTGGATGGGAAAATGCAAAATAACAAATTAGCAAATGAAAAGAAACTGATTCAAGCATATAAACTTCAAAATAAATGAAAAGAAAGCAGCTTTGAACATAATAAATGAACATATACCCATGAATTCACTTTCAGTAAGGCTAGGGAAATTCTGAACAAACTGAGTCAAGCACTTTAAAACCTAGTGAGCACAGAATTAATATCAGCCACCAACTCATTTCGACAAAAAAGGATAATAGACAAAGATTTAGATCAAAAGACTGAATTAACCTCCATTCTCAAGCTCCAATTATCAGGATCTTCAGGTTGCATTGGCGGTTCTAAGATAACAGAGAACTGATCCATCCATGGTTTAAGCATTGGTGTTATCAAGGCACTGATTTCTGTCTGAACATAAATGTATTAATCTTTCAATAAAAGATAGAGCAGGTTAAAAAAGATGACAATCTGAAGCAAGTGTAAACTAGATCAGAAGTAAAAAACATACCTTGTATACACCACTCATGATCCCGAGCACAGACACGCAAGAATAAACTATTGTAAGGGCTTTTGTACGCAAGTAGTTGTCATAATTCTGCTTAAACAGGTTCTGACATAGTAAGTCCACGGGATGAACAGGAGTATGGTTTTGCCATCAAGAAAGCAACTTCAACATATTGATACTGACTACTTTCCATACACAAAATTAGGGTCTACTCATATACCAAAATGTGATGCAGAATCCTGAAAATATCTATGAGAAATACAAGGAAGAAAAGAGATACATGGGTAATTTCAAATCATTTAAGAATGAATAATATCTCTCAAGAAAACCACAGTATGTCACCCATCACCCACTTATTCACCAAAGAAACCAGAAGTCATCAAGATTTCATCACAACATTTTCATTGTTGCTTTCGGGCCATGGAATTACACAAGTAATTTGAGGTCATAAATGCAGAAAGAGTAACATCTCTCATGCAGCCATGGTATACCACTTGCTGCTTACTAATTTACCCAAGGAATCAGAATTCACCAAGATTTTAACAAAAAAAAAAATCAATTTTCCTTTCAGACCACAAAATAATAAAGAACCCGGAACACATAAGCATACACCATAGAGTGCACCAAGCCACATAAGTCTAGCTAGTTTGACTCCAACACATTTCATGAAGGTGCAATAGTAATGCATCACTGAAAACAGGGAACTTGTGTATGTTACTGTTTTTGGGCAACATAACACATGTACATTTATTTCTTGTAGGCATCAAAGGAATCTCATGTCACTTTGGTCACCGTGATACTGTTTAAATTGCAATTATCATGGTCCTGCTCTATTCTTTGGTCACTGGCATATATACTTAGCATGCACTGGCATGCCCACCTTTTCTTCGAACAAGTTCACGTTTCCATTCATAAAAATTTCCCATTGGATAGCCAGCAAAAAACCTAAAACCAATCAAATAATGCTTTTGGAAAAAGCAACAATATATGAGAAAAAGTCCGAACCTGAGGTGACGATACAATTGTAAGCAAGCATGGGAACAAAACTGGTACTAGTGTTGGCACCACTGCATCATCCAAATCCCCAGAGAGAAGAGCCAGACACCTTAAAGCTCCATGCACTACAAATTCCAACATCAAATGTCACCTTCATTCTCAAGTCAAATTGCAAAGAACTGGTCACTTGTTAAGATCTTCGAGGTCAGGATTCAATTTGAAAAAGAGAGCTTCAGGGTTTTGTTTTTCATAAATGTCTGCTTGGAATGTGTATGGTAATCGCAAATTAAAAAACTTCACACAACCATCCCAGAGACTTACCTCCGCTCACATTAGTTCGATCGTTAATCAACTTCAAAAGAAACGGCAATAAATCAGGCCAATTCTCAGGCCAGTCATAAACAGCAATCGAAGCAATAGCCATGCTAATTGCAGTACAAATTTTCCGATGAGAATCATCCAACGACGGTAAAAGTAGTCTCCGTATAACTTCCTAATAACAGAACAATAAACTAGTAATTAGACCTCAATTTATGAATTTCAAGATCTCAAAAAACGCCATAACTACCTTCTCTTCAGTTGCAACAGCAGGCGGCTCGAAGGAATCCTCGCTTTCGTGCCAATGTTTCTTGATAAATTGCTTCAATAGTACGGCAGCTAGGTAATTATCTTGTTAATTCTCACCCAAAAAAATCAAATATAGGAACAAGAAGATTTAAAAAAAAATATGAGAAAAAACAAGGTTTCAAAAGAGAGGATATCTGACGCAATCCAAAAGGAAGTTCCTTGTTCGCAGCAACTTTTGATAATGCCACTCCAAAGCCTGAAGAAATAATGCTCGATTAGACTGGATTGATATCGGAGATTTAGAGGGGAGAAGAGGAGGGGAGTGACCTGGTTGAAGAGAGGCTTGGCGAAGAGAAACTTCGGCCAAGGAACGGATTTCCTGGTTAGGATCGAGAGTGGCATTCAGGCAATTGAGTAGCCATTCTTGATCTTGATCGATTAGGTTTGCCATTTTGTTTTATCTTTCAGCGAAAAAAGAAAACCTAATTCACCTGTTGAGAAATGAAGACCAGAGTTTTCTTTTTCCCGCTCTCAAAAGGAGATTTTTGCGGTGAGGGTGAGTGAAGAGAGAGAGAGAGAGAAAGAGAGTACAATGTTTCCGGTTTGTATATATAGTAGTGGAGGTTTTTTAGGGTTTCAGCTAGGTGGGCCTAAGAGAGTACAGTGAGTCGGGCTCTAGCTCCACCGCCAATTTGCCTGCTTCTTGTTGGCAGTTAATTTAATGGACACTGTTCATAAAATTAGAGCAGGGCGCCTGATAGATATAGGTAAAAATTGATAGAAAATGGCTTGAATTAAGGGCAGAGTAAGAATATTAATGGTCATCCGTATCCGATTGTTATCTTCATCCTCCATTACTGATTAGCCCTCAAACCGTGTCATTGTGCAATTTTTTTCAATTTACTAGCTCAACCTATAATTTCAAAATAGTTTATTCACTGCAATCGCTTGAATTAAAAAAAAAAAGGAAGAACAAACGTAAAAATAACATCTAGACTAGTATAAATATTTCAGAATTATTATTAAATTTAACATAATGATTTAAACTTGAAAAATCGTAATTTATATTATTCACTTCACTTGAGTTTTAAATTAAAATGAATTAAAATTATCACATTTTGACTCTATTTACTACACATATTCCAAAAACAAAATCGAATTAAAAAAATAAGTAATGTTCATCCTATTCAACTCACAAAATTTCCAACCAGATTGCTGAATTAAATTAGTTTTTTATTTTATTTTATTATATAATAAAAACTACAAAAATCATTCATAAAATGATTAAAAAAACCCACATTAAACACGACACAGGTGATGTGTATCGGTTGATGCGAGAAGCGAGAGAGTATAGACTGGAATGCCAATATCTTCACAACTATTTTTAAATGCTCTTTAAAACCACTAAAACTGCAAAAAAAACACCAGCAAATGCCCGGGGAAGAAACACCCAGAGGGTGTTTTTTCGGTGTGCATTGATGCAGTGTGTAATGTGTTTTTCAAAGATATTTTTTATATTTTTAAAATCTGTACCCTTAACACGTCAAATTACTTAAAAATATTTTAAAAATATTAAATAAATATTTTTAAAATAAAAAATAATTTTAAAAACTACTTCAACCACATTATCATAGACGCTGGGATAGGCTAACACGACACATCTTTTAACTGAAACGGTACCACGTGTGACATATGAATACAGCAAAAGAGAGGAAAAACATAAAACATTCTCATTCTTCCCAGTACATTAAATCCCTCAACCAACACATAGCATCCAGATTTACTCTTTCTACCAATCCCACTTGCTCACAAAATGTACAAAAAAAAAAAAACTCATCTGCTCCCAGTTTTACATACATACATACATACATATAAATTAGTCTAATTGATTAAAAAAGAGGCATAATTTTATAATTCCCATCTGCTTCTAATGCGATGAGGATGGCTGAAATCATAGGTCAGCAGCAAGCTTCCATCCATTCTCTTCAAGGCAAACCTCTCAACCAAAACATAGCAACCAAATTTCCTCCACTTCCCCTCGCCATCAAAAACCTCATTTCTCTTCACCCTCACCTCCCTTTCATCCCCACTAGCCCCCCCTATTCCTTGCACCCACTTCATTCTCTCCACAATTTCCATTCTCAGTCCCACACTTGTTTCTCCTGTCACTCTGTTAAAACTCCTGAACCACATCACCCCATCAACAACATCCTTTCGGCCGGCCACAGCTCCTGTCCCGCCAATTGTAACAGCTTCACATTCAACAACAACATCCACAGTTACAGTATTGCCTTCATTATACATATTTTCACAAGCAAAGATTTGCTCCCATTGTTGCTCGAGTTTCATCTCATAATAGGTTGAATATTTCACTTGATCTTTAAGTGCTGTCCCTTCCTTGATAAACATGAAAGGGCAATACCACTTCCCCGCTACTACAGGCTTGGAACATTTTTGTGATAGTGGGAAGTTGAAGTCCGGGAGGCGAGCGCGGAGAGCTGTGTTAAGGCCTGGCGCTTCATTTAGCTGGAACTCCTTTGAAGTTGAGGTAAACACTTGCCAGCCTTTTCTCCTCAGGAAAATTGGAGGAAACCCATCTGAAGCTACGGATTTAGCAGCAAAACCGCCCCATTTACGTCGAATCTCAAATTGTTGATAAATGTTTCTAGGGTCCAAAGGTTGTGGTTTTAAATCAGATATACAGGCGCAGAAACAGCATGTTTTCATATCCTCTTCCTTGGAGTTTATGTAAGCTTCCCTGAAAGCCAATATGAGTGTGGATTTATTAAGAATTGGCTAATTAAAACGAGTGAGAAAAAAAAAGAAGGAAATGTTTGCACCCATTTTCTTAATCCAGAAACGCAGCAGTGATTCATGCTAAGGTCCTAGCTGACGCAATCTTTCCATGTTGTTTGAGAGCTTCACTTGATTTAAAAGATATAGAGGATATGAAAAAAAAGCAAAGGAAAAACAAAACAAGGTGAAGTTGGAGGTAGAGCACACACGTACCCTTTATGCTTCCCTTTTCTTTCAACCACGTAGTATTGATTGGAAGATAATGGCTGATTAAGAACAGGAATGAAAAGAACACGGTTCCTATGAACGTATTGATGCTCCCCAGCTTGCTGCGTATACCGAACCATTAAGTTCTTGTTTTGAGGAAAAGGCAGGCCCCAGCTTACGAGATCACTCTTGAACAATCCAAAACAGAACTTAGGCACAGCTTCTTCATCCTGGATTACCAATACACCAGAGTTTGGACCCTCAGGAGGCGGTGATGAAAGAGCGGAAGGATCTCTTAGATACAGAGAAAGAGGCCTTGTCACATACATTTCCTCTCAAACTTTTCTCTGGCTCCGAAAGTACTTGCTGCTGACCTTGTTCCTGGGGTTTTAAAGTGAAAAAAAAGTTTTGAGCTCAAAATGCACGTACATAAAAAATTCTGTGTACACGTTTATAGAGAGAAATGATCTCAAAATGGCTTGCTTGTCTAACCAGGATTAGTTACATGGGGGCCTGATCTTCTCAGGTGCCTAAAGTCAACTAGTTGATTGCTGAAGATTGGTGGAGTTCAATATGCATTACCAAATTTCAGGTAAGTTCCAAAGCATTTTAAATTTTAAAAATAGAATGTCTAATTACCAGGAAGCTTCACACGTACATACCCACACACATCCATGTGCGTGCGTGCGTGTAGAGATGATCTCAAAATGGCTTGCTTGTCTAACCAGGATTAGTTACATGGGGCCCTGATCTTCTCTTATGCCTAAAGTCAACTAGTTGATTGCTGAAGATTGGTAGAGTTCAATATGCATTTTTTTTGTTTTTTTAAGATTAATATGGATATGGGATAGCTGGCTAAGATGTATCATGATTATTTTTATAGTTTTTAAAATTAATAATTATATAAGTTTTTAATAATTATCATATAAACAATTAAAAATTCAAACCTGAAATTATAAAAAAAACAACTCTTTTAATTCTAAATTTTTACCATTTAGTCACCATTTAAACCACCAATTTATTAAGTGGAGTTAGTTTTTAATGATCATTATATAAACAATTAAAAATTCAAATCTAAAATTATATAAAAAAAAATAATTCTTTTAATTCTAAATTTTTATCATTTAGTCATCATTTAAGCCACCAATTTATCAGGTGGAGTTTAATATGCATTCTTAAATGACAGGCAAGTTCCATGAGCATTTCAAGTTTTAAATACAGAATGTCTAATTCATAGGAAGCTTCGGAACATGTCTAGCAAATTTTTAATTCCTTTTGTGATATAGACCACCGAGTGAATTTAGCCAGATTTAATTTGTTATTAAAGTTGTCACGTACCGAAACACTCACATATTTCAGAAATATTCTCAAATTTATGTTTATATGAATTACTCACAGTCAAATATTCATAAATAGCAATTACTCGTAATGGCAAAGTAAATTGTAAGAGTAACCATTTAGCCAGTAGTCATATGATAAAGACTTGAGATGGGTTTGTTTCTTCTATAGTCTCAGATTCGAGTCCTTGGTTGCTCACATGATAGCCACTGAAAGCTTACATGGTCGTTAACTTCAGGGCCCGTGGAATTAGTCGTGGTGCGCGCAAGCTTGCCCAAAAACCCACATTAATAATAATAAAAAAAAAAAGTAAACTGTAAGCCTTAAATACCTAAACATAATTGAAAACAACGTCCAGTTAAAAAAATTATCAATAAATATGAAATACATGCTGGGACATGATAGAAAAACTGTCCTTTGTCATCAGGCATCACATTGTATTTTATTCTGAACTTGAGGGGCAGATCGTAATTTTACAATATCCAGGGACTGAACTGAAAATGACAAAAATATTGACCAGGCTAAAAATCCTTCATCTTCATCTTTGATTTCAAACGGTGTTTTAGAGGTCAAATCATAACTTGTCAAAGTATAAAGAATTAAAATGTAATTTTTATATAGCAGGACCAAACTGAATGTTTATAATCTTCAACCTTGAAACTACTTTTTCCAGAATTTTTAGCAAAGACTGTTCCAAATTTCTTAGCACTTCTTGCACATAAAATATCAATTAAACAAATAAATCTTGAATTGTTTTTCCTAATAAAATCATTCAAAATGAATTAATTTTAACATTAACCCATATTAATCATCAATCAATCAAACTTAAAAACATAAACTTCAAATCTTTAGGAACATTAACAAGTTAAAAAAAAAAACACAATGAGCAACAAAAACAAAAATAACGTACATCAAATTACAATCTCACCTCAAAAACGTAATTTCTCCATCACTCATGATCCTTTTCTTCTTCCTCTTTTTCTTTCGGTTTCATCTCTTCTCCGTGTCTGGTTTCTTTTATTCCTTTCTCATCTCTCTCTGTACATTAATATACGTGAAACGACTGAAGTGTCCCCAACCATTAATAACCACAGCCATGCACATAAGGGCAATACTGTCTGTTTATCCAAACTTACAGAAGTATACGGGATTAATAAGAGACTCGCCCCTGGTTACCGTACATAAATGATTAAGCTTTTCAATCATGAAGATTCGTGAGATTTTCATTAACATTCTAGGACATGATGGAGCTCATCAATTTCTGGATATCAAGTAGCTCAAAAAATCAATTCGGGTTGTTGAAACAAAACAGCAATCTTCAGAAAAAGTATAACGGGTTGACAAAAAAATTGATGCTTATAGCGACATGAACCAATCAAAACTTTTAAGAAGCATAAAAGACTGTTCAATCATTCTCAGATTGGCCTCGTATTCCGACATCTATCATGTATGTATCGAGAGAGACAGAAGAGTTAGTATTGTCAATTAAACCTATTATGAGGTTTGATGCAAGCTTTGTGTCTGTCAAGAGCTTACTGACAATTGATTCATTCCTTGAAACGATAATTCTCAATTCTCTCTAAAGGATCTACTCCATTTCCTCTTCCTTCCTACCCTTTTCCTGCCGGAATCATGTTTTTGTTATTAGGCATGGGATGATTTGTTATACACTACTCTTCAAAATGACACGGGGATTAGTTCAAATTGCTTGGTATTTACCATTGAATCTACTTCTTTGTCCTTTGTTCTGGCAATATGACATGGAAGATAGATCAACAAGTGACCCCAAAAAAGAAAATCCGGGTCAAGTGAACAGGAATGAATCAAATAAAAGAGATGATAACTGGAATTAAACAAGTATGATTCCTCTTTCACTCACCTACACATCTTTCTCGCTGAAATAGTACAGACTGTAACATGCAAAATTGGAAATACTGAAAAGAAATAATAGAATAAACAGTACTCATATCATTCCCATTTGCTCCTAATTTGATGAGTGTGCTTGAAGTCATAAGTTAGCACCAAGCTTCCGTCCATTCTCCTCAATACAAATCTCTCAACCAACACGTAACATCCAAGTTTCTTCCAGCCACCAATCCCTCCGAACTCCTCCACTCTCTTCACCGTAACATAACTCTCATTACCACCGGGACATCCAGCTCTCTCTTGCTCCCACTTCATTCTTTCCACAATTTCCAAACTCAAGCCCACACTTGCTTCTCCTCCAACATTGCTAGAACTCCTAAACCACATGATCCCGTCAACCACATTCCTTTCGTCAGGCGCCACTTCTCTACCAGCAACAGCAATCACTTCTCTTTGAACAACAGCATCCACAATTACAGAGTTGCCTTCACTAAGACTATTTTCACGCGCAAAAATCTGTTCCCATCTCTGCTCCAGTGTCATCTCATAATACCTAGAAGCAACAAATTGATCCTTCAGTTTTCCTTCTTTGATAAACATGCAAGGACAGTACCACTTTCCTACAACAACCGACGCAGAGCTTCTTTGTGATAATGGGAAATGAAAATCTGGAAGGCGGTCACGGAGATTTCTATCAAGGCCTCGCGCTTCATTCAACTCAAAATCACTTGCAGTTGAGGTTACCACTCTCCAACCTTTTCTCCTTAAGAATCCTGGAGGGAAGCCATCTGGAGCTACCGATTTAGCTACATAACCACCCCAGCCTCTCTTGCGAATCTCAAATTGCTGGCGTGCGTCCTTTGGATCGAAAGGCTCTGGTTCCATATCGGGGATACAGCAGCCAAAACAGCATGCTGCAACGTCCTCCTCCGTCGCGTTTGTGTGGGCTTCCCTGGATTAAGGCCAAATTTAATGTACAGATTCAAATAGCAAAATCATGGTTGTGATGTCCAAAAGCCCAACGCAGAGGATTTGATTTTCTAAAACTGAATCTTCACTTGATATATATATATAAAAAAAGAACAAATGGAAACTGCAATTTGTGACTATAAACGTACCCTTTATACCTCCCGCGACGCTCAATTACGTGGTATTGGTTGGAAGACAGTGGCTGATTAAGAACAGGAACGAAGATAACACGGTTAGTATAAGTAACTGTGTGTGTGCTGCCTGCAGCACCTCCACTTGTGGTATAGCGAACTTTTAGATTCTTGTTCTGAGGGAAAGGCAGGTCTTCAACTTGATCGCTCTTGAACAAGCCAAAACAACAGGTGGGTTCAGCTTCTTCATCTTGAATTATCAATATACCAGAATTTGGACCTTCAGGAGGAGGTAACGAAAGAGCTGAAGGATTTCTTTTGTACAAAGAAAGAGGCCTAGTCACATACATTTTTGGAGTGGTTTGGAGTATTTCTTAGAGCATTATTTATCCCATTGCCTCAATCTTCTCGCGAATATATAGAGAGATATGGGAAATATTACTCTGAAAAGTCAATAGCGTAGGCAATTTAGACAAGTAAGAAGAATCCTACAAGAGGAAAAGTAGATAAAGGTTCTACTAATCCAGGACCGCACATTTTGTGGTCCTCGACGCATGAAATCCATGTAAGTTCCATGCTAATGCTAGAATCTTGGCATTATCAAGAATAATTTTGGACTATTAACCATTGGCTTAATCCATAGCCCCTTATATGATGTGCAACAAAAAATAATGAAAGAGAAAGAAAATAAAGAAAGAGGCTATAAAAATAGTTAAATTGCAGTTACAGTATAATGGACGAACCCTCGGTGCTTCCTCCCATGTCGCTGGATGAAATGGTATTTATTGGAAGAGGGTGGCTGGTTAGAAACGGTAATGAAAAGGACATGGTTTTTAGATATTGTTTGATGTTCTGAATTTCCTGTCACGTAATGCATTTCTTGGTCAGGTCCCTTGTCATAAAAAAAAACTTAAAATTAGAAAAACTACATGGCAAGTCTATGTGCTGGATAGCCTGTGCGAATCAAAATTAGATTTTCATCGTTATAAAATGGGATTTACACCCTATGATCTATGGCCATCAGTATTGTGAAAGATATAAAGTCAAACTAGAAATCACATGGAAAGCATACTTAGCTTCCGTCAACTTTATCTACTTGGACGCCAACATGGCTCAGAAACCCAAGAG